GCTTTATAACCTTTTCCAGACTGATAGACCTCAATTACTTTCTTTGGATCTCATCATGATGTCTAGCTTTTGAGGATCTTTTGGTCTACTTCACTTTGTCAGGCAGGTCCTATTTAAGAGATTTCTTGATTGCGAACAGGTGTGGCAGTAATCAGGCCTGGGTGTGGCTAGAGAAATTGAACTCAGGTGTGAGAAACCACAGTTTTATCAGGGGGGCAAACACTTTTTCAAACAGGGCCATGTAGTTTTGGATTTTGTTTTCCCTTAATAATAAAAACCTTCATTTAAAAACTGCATGTTGTGTTTACTTGTGTTATCTTTGACTAATATATACATTTGTTTGATGATCTGAAACATTAAAGTGTGACAAACATGCAAAAAATAAAATAAGAAATCAGGAAGGGGGCCAACACTTTTTCACACCACTGTATATCCTAAAGGTTCATTGTAAAACAGACTTGATTGGTCAATCTCACTTGCTGTACTTGTCATCATATTTGCAGATGTAACTCAGGTGTGCAGCAAAGGCCTCCACAGCAAGGGGACATGGGATTTCTCCACTCTTCCTCTTAATGATCACCCCTAGGACAATCCGGGCAGAAATGTCAATTACAGTTAGCAGACAGGAGGATTTAACATCTGACAATAAGGAACGACTGTTCAGTTTTCTGCTGCATCTTAGCAACGAGATCTTCTGCTTTGTTAGTAGCATGAATCATGCTTTTACTGATCACAAGAATAAATGTAGATTTTAAACAATCTTATTGAACACCAATTTGTTGTATTTCTACTTAATTTCAAACTCTCTATTGAACTGGCCACAAACCACAGGGAGTTAAATTGGAATTTTAATCGGAATAACAAGAAGAAGAATTTACTGAATTGTACCTGTCTGTCTTATAAACTGGCAAACTTCAAGGCTTTTTTAAACTTCCAAACAAGGTTTTATCAAGTCAACATTTAAAGTGTTGTTGCATTTCTTTTCATTTCAAGTCATTTTATTTCTACTTTCTTACATTCACATTTAAATTACAGTTCTGCATTCTGCGTGCAACCTCAGTTTAAATTCTGGAACTGGATTAGAATATAAAAGGCATTCAGTTTGATTTTGAATGGCGCACGACCTTGGTAGGCGTCCTTCTTGTGTAATCACTCATCATATAACTTATGCATCATCTTCAGCATTTTTAATCTGAGTCACATGTAATTAAATTAGAATCAAAAACATGATGTCACTGAAACATAATCAGTAAAAGTCCCAGTCATTAGATCTGTACCATTATGAACCCTCTGATATTGTCAGCATACAATTAACTGTCATCTGTTGCAATCAGTAGTAATCTACTGCTCATTAGAGCACAAAGTACTGTCTTCCTCAGGAGTGCTTGTGGCATGTAAATTACAATGCTGGCACTTTTTGAAAATTAAAATGTGCTATTTTGAGTCCTAAAGACTACGGGGAAATGCACGGAAATACTTTTTATAGACTGTGGACTTACAAAGTGTCTAAAAGTTGAGGCTGAATACTGGTGGGATGCTAATTTTAGTTCAGGTTATAGAAAACTTGGCAGAGATCTAGCACTGAGTTTTCAATGAAACTGTATAGCCCTATTAATCAAAAGCGACACCTGCTCTCAAAGAGGAGCACAAAAAGCTTTTACTATATAAACGTAATATTTCAGATTCCAGAGAATGAAATATAAGTCGTAATTTAATCTCCCTTTTGCCTGACCTCATAAATCAGAAGCAATGTTATTTGTTTACCATATAGATTTAGCTAGATAAACCTTTCAAGAATGTGAAGTGCTTTGAACACTTCATGCATATATTTGCTTTTTGATTGGATTGTAGTAAAAAGGAAAATAAGATGATTGAATTGATAAATTATATATTGATGCAGCTCAATGCTTTATATCACTCTCTAATGAAAATGCCTAGTATCAGCGCTGGCATTTCTCATGTGAAGTTGCTGTCAGAATGGATCAAGGCTTATCAAAGAAAAGTGAAGACCAGCGCAATACAAAGAAGCTTTCCCTTTTATAATCCTATGATGTGCACAATATCCACATAATCCACAAACATTGGCGTAAAACCAATCTAAACTTACACTGCTATAGTGTAAATATAGTGATGCAGCTTGCGAGTGTCATTTGTAGTTTGCATGTTTCCTTTTTAGGGCTGACATTCAATAAAATTTTTGTATCTAATTAATTACATGATGTGGCAATTAATTAATCGCTAATTAAATTTGTGTGTGGAAATACCCCAAAAGGTCATTTAAAACCATCATAAATGAGAAAAGTTTCAAGTAGACATTACAAAAAGTAGCTTTAGAATGAAATATTATATTTGATTCAACATAAAATGTATTACACATTTAGGCTACATAAACTATGGAACATAAAATAATATAATTTGAGAAACATCTCTATTTTTTGTTCATAGAATGAAAGTCACTGGTTACCAGCAGTCATCAAAATATCTTCTTTTATGTTCCACAAAAGAAAGCAAGCCATACAGGTTTGAAATGACATGAGGGTGAGTAAATAATGTCAGAATTTTAATTTTTTTGGTGAACTATCCTTTTTTTATATGGAAATATATTTAATATTTAAATATATATTATATAATATATTTTTTATAATAATAATGATAATAAATTATAATATATTTTTTTAATGAAATGATACTCTAAACAAGAAACTAAAACTGCCAGTAGGTGGCGGTAAATGCCTTTATGAGTAAGTCATTGAGTCATTCATTCATTGGATTCGTTCAAACGGCTGATTAATTCAGAAAAAAATCACCACTGTGTTGCTTGCAGATGCACAACAGTTCTGCTGTGGCTTTATAGGTAATATTTTTGCTGGCAAAATTTAGAAAAAACAGACAAAATTGTGTTTACAATATAACACAATATTAAATTCTTATTCACTGTACTGTCTTATAAAATCCCATTTGCACTCATGCTATTCTGGACAAAAATACAGCACTCGTGTGATATCGCGTATCAAATATGAGACAAAAACTCATACAGGGACATTTTTTCCCCAATCTCTTGAATTTTAGGGGCTTATAACTACATTTATTGAATGTGTCACGCAGTGAGTTGTTGCCCTGCATCATGTGTGTCAAATCAACAGTCAAATGTTTGCAGTGTAAGATGACATACAGGTCTGGGGTGGGGCGGGCGCGTTAAAGGGTTAGTTCACCCAAAAATCAAAATTAGCCCATGAATTACTCACCCTCAGGGCATCCTAGGTGTATATGACTTTCTTCTTTCAGACGAATCCAATCTGAGTTATATTAAAAATTGTCTTTGATCTTCCAAGCTGTTTAATGGCAGTCAGCGGGTGTCGCATGCATCAGTCCAAAAGAAGTGAAATTAAGCACATCCATCCTTAATAAAAAGTGTCTCACACGGCTCCGGGGGGGTGAACAAAGGCCTCCTGTAGCGAATCGATGTGTTTTTGTAAGAAAAATATCCATATTCAAAATGTAATAATCACTTTAATGTAGCTTGCGCAAACAGTTGTACACAGAAGCAGTTCCGGGAACATGAGGTATGAGGTCAGCGCTGAGCATGCGCCGGTGAGTCTCGTGAAAACCAACGTTTGTTAACAGGATCAAAGGAAGCAAAGTTTCCTTACTTTAGCAAAGGAAAACCAGTCTCCTCTTGGCTTATATCGAAATGCCCCAACATTCTTCTTTACAAATCCTCGTTTTGTACTTCTAATTAGTGACTGTTGTTTTGTTTTGATCTCTCCCCTGCGCTTCCGCGTTTGTCACTTCTGAGCGGCGCATGTGCAAAGCCGACCTCCATATGTCATCCTCCCGGAACTGCTTCCGTGTACAACTGTTGGCGCAAGCTAGATTAAAGTGATTATTACGTTTTGAATATGGATATTTTTCTTACATAAACGCATCGATTCGCTACAGGAGGCCTTTGTTCACCCCTCGAAGCCGTATGAGACATGTTTTATTATGAATGGATGCGCTTTATTTCACTTTTTTTGGACTGATGCACTGCAACAATTTTTAATATAACTCCGACTGGATTCGTCTGAAAGAAGAAAGTCATATACACCTAGGATGCCTTGAGGGTGAGTACTTCATGGGCTAATTTTAATTTTTTGGTGAACTAACCCTTTAACTGCGTTAAAAAAAAAAGCGTTATTTCTCCCTAACTAATTATTTAATTAACGTGTTAAATTGGCAGCCCTATTCCTTTTATTATAAACTGACAAAACTGCTTCATTCAAGCAAGAAGAAACATATCATCTGCCTGTCCTGTGTGTTTCTTACCTTCTTTAGTGGGAGGGTAGGCATTAGTGAGGAACCTGAAGTTGCCTTTGTTGTACCAGTTGATTATGGACATATTGCCTCTCATCTTAATGTGAGACTGGCCACGTTGCTGTGGAGCCTCGGTATTGATCAGCATAGACTGAGGAAGACCTGTACAATCGCTCTTCCTGGTGCTCAACAACCCGCAGCAGTAGATGCCTGCAGGAGAGGGAATGTATTAGAGAGAAAAAAAGCGCTCAGTTTATGGCACAACAAGTGTTCACATTTGAATGCTGATCGGATAAATAGAGGTCACATGAATAGACCCCTGCATGTGTGATCTATGAAGCTGCGAGCAGATGTCTTCTCCACAGCACTGCCAGATGCTGCAGCCTCTCTGAGAGTGGCCTAGAAATCTGATTGAGATATGATTATTCATCCTCCCTGCAAAGGGGACAATTGTGTGACTAATCTTTCCTTGAAGACTTTCCTCTCCATCCTATATACTTATACAATGAACAAAGTGCTGTCAAATGTCCAGTAGGATTCACTCAGGAGTGTTTGGACAGCTTTTAACTAAATCAATGTTATCTGAAATAAAATAAAATAAATAAATTATCTTCGGCCTGCATCCTCGTGCCTACGGCTGAATCACAGCTGTGCTGATAAACAGTCATATTGTTTTTCGATACCATTTTACTACAAAGACAAACTATGTAAAAACCATCAAAAGTCACTGCTTTACGTGAACTCTCTGAACAAAGCAATTCATTGAACTGGACATATGTTGTACAGCTGAGTGATATCCTGTTCACTCTTTGTATGAATAATAGACCATTTGTCAGATATCCATTGTGCTGTTTTGTTCAAGCATTCAAGCTTGTTTGTTTTTCCGCATGTGTTTGTAATGGTGAACAGTTCTGCTGGATTCAGTTCAATGAAGGATTCATTGAACTTATTCAAATAAAATAACTTGTCTCTTATAGCATTCATCAAAAGAACTGACACATAATAGTATTTTTATTTCTCATAATAGTAATTTGTTTATGAATCGGACATGTTGTATGATGTTTTTGCTTGCAGCCCACTAGGAAAATTCAATAGAAATTAAGTTATTTCCATTATTAAAAGAATGCAAAAATAAATATGATTTATGCAAAAATAAATTTTACTTTGCTGTGGCACTGAATTGTGAAGTTGCAATCATGACATTAAAAAAAACACAATGTTGTGATTTACAATGTTACTTTTGAAAAAAGCTACGCTACTTTGAAAACAACTGAACTACTGTCACGCTATTGAAAAGTCACTACTTTTAGTTTATTACCGGTACTCCCTAGAACAGTACTGTATGAGGCTAAATGAGGCTATGTATGAAGCTGATATAAAAATTCTACATGACATGCAATTATGACCTAGTTCTCTAATAATGTGAAATGTTTTGATTCAAATGTAGAGCGAAAAAAATAAGCTGGTCACTAGCTTTATCCACTCTAGCTGTATTAACATTCACTCCTTGCGGCCCAGCTGGAGGCTTTCAAATAATCTTTGAGTATGAAACACGCGTTTGCTTTGAGAACTCAAGGTCAACTTCCTCTCACTCTCCCCATTTATTCCTTGCCACAGGATACTGTCACCGTGTAATTAAAAACTGCAGGGGATGAGGAACATCAGATGGAGAGAAGATTAAAGAGATGGAAAAAAAAGAAGCAGAGCAAAGCCAAGGCAGAATTCACCAAAAGAAGTAGAGCAGATAATGATGCAAAGAACTGACAGATGCAGCACTGTTGCACATGAGTTACAGCACCTACCCTGTTTCTCAAATTCCTGAAACAAGTTTAGACTTGTGATGCTTGGGCCAGTGAAGATGATTGCATTACGGCCAGCCAGATTCTGACAGAGCTGTTTGGCCACCAGACTGTGAAGCTGGGGTTTATTTTTCAACGTGTCCAAACCATCTGGACCTGGACCCTCCTTTAGATGAACATAGATCTGGTAAAGAAGAAAGAATTTAAAGCTGCTTAAACAATAAATCAGAATTGACATTATTTACTTTCCATAAAGAAATTAATTATTCATTAATAATTTACATTTCACTGGATATTATGGTGAATGATTTGGCATTCTGAGATCTCTAATATCTCTTATCATGATCTAATCAATCTAATCTTTTTCTTAAACTTTATATTCACTACGATTTAAAAGTTTGAGGTGAGTACATTTTTTTAAAAGAAATTAATGCTTTTATTCAGCAAAGATGCATTAAATTGATCAAACGTGACAGTAAAAACTTTTATAATGTTACAAAAGATATCTATTTCAAATAAATGCTGTTCTTTTATTCATCAAAGTATCCTGAAAAAATGTATCAGTTTCCATAAAAATGTTTTCAAAATTAATAATAATAAACAAATGTTGGTCACACTTTATATTAAGTGGCCTTAACTACTATGTACTTACATCAAAACATAAGTACAATGTACTTATTATGTTCATATTGTATTGCAAAACACTTTTGCTGCTATTGAGGTGGGATATGGGTAAGGTTAGGGACAGGTTAGGTGGTATGGGTAGGTTTAAGGGTGGGTTAAGGTGTAAGGGATGGGTCAACAATGGTGTAATTATAAATGTAATTACAGATGTAATTAAATGCAGGTATTTTTAAAAAGATTAGTACAATGTAAAAACACGCATGATCACAATAAGTGCATTGTACCAAATGATTAATTTAAATGTAAGTACATAGTAGTTAAGGCCACTTAATATAAAGTGGGACCCAAATGTTTCTTGAGCACCAAATCAGAATGACTTCTGAAGGGTCATGTGACACTGAAGACTGCAGTAATGGCTGCTGAAAATTCAGTTTTGTCATCACAGGAATTAATTACTTTAAACTGTAATATTATTTCACAATATTAATGTTTTACTGTATTTTGACCACATAAATGCAGCCTTGGTGAGCATAAGAGATTTATTAAAAAAACAAAACAAATCTTACAGATCCTAAACTTTTGAATGGTACAGGCACAGTACATCAAAAATACTGACAATAAATTCAGTTATCTGTTTGCTTTACTCCCCAAAGGCGCATAGCAGTTATTTTCTCTAACAGGCACAGACCAAGAGAATTATGTTAAGTGGTCTGGGCTTTCGTTTTCTTTGTTGACTATAAATGATATTTTATTGATTCCATCTGCTTCTCTGTAGTAATTTATTTAAATATGTAATTTATTTGCGTTAACAAATATCACAGAATTGTGTAAAATTGCTTTGTTTGTGGCAACAGAGTAGCAAAATATTTTACTTTCTCATTAGAAACAATGTGACATAACATCTTGGGGCAGTTGATAATTTTTTGTGGGATATCCTCCTGTGCTTTCCCTGTGGGAGCGCGTGTGCATTCACCTGACAGATGAAACCAGTGGAGCTGCACTGTCGCACCCACAGGCTGAACTTTCTCTTCTTCCTCTTGCGCAGCTCCCTCTCTGTACATGTGGTAATGAACACGGGGTCCTCATCAATCAAGGGCTCATGGAGGACCTGAGGGAAAGCAGCATGTCTCATATGAAAATTCCACCATGATAACACTTAAAACACATCATTTGTTAATGCAAAGTTGCTTTTCAAACTTTTTATGTTCCCTGCAGGAGGTGCACTCTGAAATCTTGATGAAGATCCTGGGAAAAGATGTTGGCTTGTCAAGTCAGGTATGATAGATCTGTTAAACCTAACCAGCCATGTTCCCTATAGATGTCATAATATGTTTATTTTAAGCGGTGTTTGACTCAGTAAACCCTCTTTTAGAGCTGAACCAGTTAAACAGGGCATGTGTGGCTGTGCTGAATGCCTTATTGTTTGCCAATAGGGGATAAGAACCAAACCCACACTGTGGCAGTCAAAGTGGGCTGGTTGGCACACATTGTCAAGGTGATATAACCATGGCACTGGAAGAGCTGAGAGACGCAGATGGTGTTTAGTTTACTCATGGCAGGCGAGTAATTGAGGGGTGTCTCTGAGATGGGTCACATAAAGGCCTCATGAAATGCAAATCTGATTTAGGAGCTGAAGCTGACTCATTAAAATCTACTGGTAGAAATACCAAGCTAAAATGCAGGTTAATGACAACCATAAAAGGATAGTTCACCAGCATTGAGGGTTTCATACTGGTTACTAAATTTAAATGAGGATACTAAATTTTCAATTTTGGAGTAAACTATCCCTTTAATATAAATAAGTTGTAAATGTAGAAGTTGACAACCTATTCCACCATGGCAGATTATTAATTTTACTTGAAGTCCAAAAATAACCAAAAATGTCTCAAAAGAGCACTTTAGTAGGAACAGGGATTAATGGGGTTTTCAAAGGGCAGGAGTTCAAAGGACCTTAATTAGAATCAGAATCAGAAAGAGCTTTATTGCCAGGTATGTTAACACATACGAGGAATTTGTTTTGGTGACAGAAGCTTCCACAGCACAAACTGAATGACAGTGACAAGATAAGACACAGATAATAAAAAGAATAAAAATAGGATAAGTAAATAACAAAAAATAAATAAATAAATACACAATATACAAAGTAGACAATAGATGGTATTTGTGTGTACAGGTGTGTTATGTACAAATGCAAGGAAATGTAAAAAGAGGTATCTGTGCTAAATAAATAAATGTATAAATAGTGTTGTGTATTACACGTTTATTGCCAAGTTAGCTGTCCATGAGATGGATTGCCTGAGGGAAGAAACTGTTCTTATGCCTGGCTGTTATACTTAATGCTCTATAACGCTGACCAGACAGCAACGGTTCAAAGAGGAAGTTGCCTGGGTGTGAGTGGTCCAGAATAATTTTGCCAGCTCTTTTACTCACTCTGGATGAGTGTGGTTCTTGGAATGTGGGGAGGTTTATACAAGTGATTCGCTCAGCAGTCCGAACTATCCACTGCAATCTTCTAAGGTCTGATTTGGTAGCTGAGCTGAACCAGACAGTTATAGAAGTGCAGAGGACGGATTCAATGACTTCAGAGTAGAACTGTATCAGCAGCTCCCTCAGTTGGCGAAGGAAGTTCAGCCTCTGCTGGGCCTTCTTGACAATGGAGTCTATGTGGAACTCCCACTTCAGGTCCTGAGAGATGGTGATGCCCAGGAACTTGAATGATTCCACTGTTGTTACAGTGCTGTTCATGATGGTAAGTGGGGGGAGTGCAGGGTGGCCATTAAGTCCACCATCATCTCCATTGTTTTGAGAGTGTTGAGCTCCAGGTTGTTATAACTGCACCAGACAGCCAGCTCTTTAACCTCCTTTCTGTAAGCAGACTTGTCTCCATCCTGGATGAGGCCAATAAGTGTGGTGTCATCTGCAAACTTCAGGAGCTTGACAGAGGGGTCTTTAGAGGTGCAGTCGTTGGTGTAGAGGGAGAAGAGCAGTGGGGAGAGAACACATCCCTGGGGGGGCGCCAGTGCTGATGGTGCAGGTGCTGGATGAGAATTTTCCCAGCCTCACTAGCTGCTGCCTGTCTGTCAGGAAGCTGGTGATCCTCTGACAGATGGAGGTCAGATGTCTGTTTAATCAGGAGAGTATCCGGGATGATGGTGTTGAAAGCGGAGCTGAAGTCCACAAACCGGATCCTCACATAAGTCCCTGGTCTGTCCAGATGTTGTAGGATATAATGCAAATGCAGTCCCATGTTGACTGCATGTACAGGTGTGTTATGTACAAATGCAAGGAAATGTAAAAAGAGGTATCTGTGCTAAATAAATAAATGTATAAATAGTGTTGTGTATTACACGTTTATTGCCAAGTTAGCTGTCCATGAGATGGATTGCCTGAGGGAAGAAACTGTTCTTATGCCTGGCTGTTATACTTAATGCTCTATAACGCTGACCAGACAGCAACGGTTCAAAGAGGAAGTTGCCTGGGTGTGAGTGGTCCAGAATAATTTTGCCAGCTCTTTTACTCACTCTGGATGAGTGTGGTTCTTGGAATGTGGGGAGGTTTATACAAGTGATTCGCTCAGCAGTCCGAACTATCCACTGCAATCTTCTAAGGTCTGATTTGGTAGCTGAGCTGAACCAGACAGTTATAGAAGTGCAGAGGACGGATTCAATGACTTCAGAGTAGAACTGTATCAGCAGCTCCCTCAGTTGGCGAAGGAAGTTCAGCCTCTGCTGGGCCTTCTTGACAATGGAGTCTATGTGGAACTCCCACTTCAGGTCCTGAGAGATGGTGATGCCCAGGAACTTGAATGATTCCACTGTTGTTACAGTGCTGTTCATGATGGTAAGTGGGGGGAGTGCAGGGTGGCCATTAAGTCCACCATCATCTCCATTGTTTTGAGAGTGTTGAGCTCCAGGTTGTTATAACTGCACCAGACAGCCAGCTCTTTAACCTCCTTTCTGTAAGCAGACTTGTCTCCATCCTGGATGAGGCCAATAAGTGTGGTGTCATCTGCAAACTTCAGGAGCTTGACAGAGGGGTCTTTAGAGGTGCAGTCGTTGGTGTAGAGGGAGAAGAGCAGTGGGGAGAGAACACATCCCTGGGGGGGCGCCAGTGCTGATGGTGCAGGTGCTGGATGAGAATTTTCCCAGCCTCACTAGCTGCTGCCTGTCTGTCAGGAAGCTGGTGATCCTCTGACAGATGGAGGTCAGATGTCTGTTTAATCAGGAGAGTATCCGGGATGATGGTGTTGAAAGCGGAGCTGAAGTCCACAAACCGGATCCTCACATAAGTCCCTGGTCTGTCCAGATGTTGTAGGATATAATGCAAATGCAGTCCCATGTTGACTGCATCATCCACAGACTTGTTTGCTCGATAAGCAAACTGCAGGGGGTCCAGCAAGGGTCCAGTGATTAGCACCAAATCATCAGAAGGAGAATTACAACTTTTCTCAAAGGAAATTTTAATTTAATTTTATTTTATTTGTCTAGCTGTATAACTGTATATGTCACACTTTCCCTCGTACTAAATTACACAATCAGTCACTCAGTAAATAAATATATGTATGTATGTTCAGTGTATTCTCACATTCTTGCCTGTAGTCCTGCTGGCCACCATGAATCAAGGAGGAAATAGACCAAAAGCTAGTTACTAAAAGAAATCCCTAATGGCTGTTTAAAAGATGAATGTGCCGAGATGCATTATACCCCGTGAATTATTCATACTGTTTGAAAAACAATGTCTTGAGGAAGCGCAAATCATTTATTCTCATTTATTCTAGCCTTTAATTTGACCGAATGTAATAAATATGTTTCACTTTTGCTGAATAATGGACTGCTCAGATTCTAGCCCATATTTCAAGATTACTTCTTACAACTCAGTTCCAGTTTTATGTCCCCTATCTGAAAGCAGAAGCACAGATCATTGAATCCACCGAAAACTCATTTTCCAAATGAAGAGAGGAAAAAACTGAACAAATGTAGGAGGATGTTGAAATGGCTTACTTGGCACAGCTGTGCTCATTTAGAAGTCTTCTTGTCATTTAACAGTAAACTCCCTGATGTTAGCCTGACATTTGAATGTCTGACATAATTATTGTAATATTATCTAACAGAAGACTACATTTAAAGTGAGATTTGGCGCTATTAGATTAACAGAATCTGCAATTACTGTCTATAAGCTTATAGCACTCTGAAATAATCAGATATCTCACTTCATTGTTTATCATATTTATTTACAGCAATTTTGATTTAAAATAGGAGTGTCAATTTAATATGTTAGCGTAGTACAATTCATTATATAAAAAACCGTATGCATTAATCACAAGAATGTAATGTCAGTTTGTCTTCATTTAGAAGCTTTTCTCTAAATTAATTGCAATTACTCTGATTAAGTAATCAGCATATAATGTACACTGTTTAAAAGTTTGGGGTCAGTCAGACTTTAACCAGACAGTTATAGAAGTGCAGAGGACGGATTCAATGACTTCAGAGTAGAACTGTATCAGCAGCTCCCTCAGTTGGCGAAGGAAGTTCAGCCTCTGCTGGGCCTTCTTGACAATGGAGTCTATGTGGAACTCCCACTTCAGGTCCTGAGAGATGGTGATGCCCAGGAACTTGAATGATTCCACTGTTGTTACAGTGCTGTTCATGATGGTAAGTGGGGGGAGTGCAGGGTGGCCATTAAGTCCACCATCATCTCCATTGTTTTGAGAGTGTTGAGCTCCAGGTTGTTATAACTGCACCAGACAGCCAGCTCTTTAACCTCCTTTCTGTAAGCAGACTTGTCTCCATCCTGGATGAGGCCAATAAGTGTGGTGTCATCTGCAAACTTCAGGAGCTTGACAGAGGGGTCTTTAGAGGTGCAGTCGTTGGTGTAGAGGGAGAAGAGCAGTGGGGAGAGAACACATCCCTGGGGGGGCGCCAGTGCTGATGGTGCAGGTGCTGGATGAGAATTTTCCCAGCCTCACTAGCTGCTGCCTGTCTGTCAGGAAGCTGGTGATCCTCTGACAGATGGAGGTCAGATGTCTGTTTAATCAGGAGAGTATCCGGGATGATGGTGTTGAAAGCGGAGCTGAAGTCCACAAACCGGATCCTCACATAAGTCCCTGGTCTGTCCAGATGTTGTAGGATATAATGCAAATGCAGTCCCATGTTGACTGCATCATCCACAGACTTGTTTGCTCGATAAGCAAACTGCAGGGGGTCCAGCAAGGGTCCAGTGATTAGCACCAAATCATCAGAAGGAGAATTACAACTTTTCTCAAAGGAAATTTTAATTTAATTTTATTTTATTTGTCTAGCTGTATAACTGTATATGTCACACTTTCCCTCGTACTAAATTACACAATCAGTCACTCAGTAAATAAATATATGTATGTATGTTCAGTGTATTCTCACATTCTTGCCTGTAGTCCTGCTGGCCACCATGAATCAAGGAGGAAATAGACCAAAAGCTAGTTACTAAAAGAAATCCCTAATGGCTGTTTAAAAGATGAATGTGCCGAGATGCATTATACCCCGTGAATTATTCATACTGTTTGAAAAACAATGTCTTGAGGAAGCGCAAATCATTTATTCTCATTTATTCTAGCCTTTAATTTGACCGAATGTAATAAATATGTTTCACTTTTGCTGAATAATGGACTGCTCAGATTCTAGCCCATATTTCAAGATTACTTCTTACAACTCAGTTCCAGTTTTATGTCCCCTATCTGAAAGCAGAAGCACAGATCATTGAATCCACCGAAAACTCATTTTCCAAATGAAGAGAGGAAAAAACTGAACAAATGTAGGAGGATGTTGAAATGGCTTACTTGGCACAGCTGTGCTCATTTAGAAGTCTTCTTGTCATTTAACAGTAAACTCCCTGATGTTAGCCTGACATTTGAATGTCTGACATAATTATTGTAATATTATCTAACAGAAGACTACATTTAAAGTGAGATTTGGCGCTATTAGATTAACAGAATCTGCAATTACTGTCTATAAGCTTATAGCACTCTGAAATAATCAGATATCTCACTTCATTGTTTATCATATTTATTTACAGCAATTTTGATTTAAAATAGGAGTGTCAATTTAATATGTTAGCGTAGTACAATTCATTATATAAAAAACCGTATGCATTAATCACAAGAATGTAATGTCAGTTTGTCTTCATTTAGAAGCTTTTCTCTAAATTAATTGCAATTACTCTGATTAAGTAATCAGCATATAATGTACACTGTTTAAAAGTTTGGGGTCAGTCAGACTTTTAAATGTTTGTGAAATAAGTCTCTCATGCTAACTAAGGCTGAATTTATTTGATAAAAAAAACAATGAAATAATATTAAATTAAAAACAATTTTTAGCAGCCTTTACTCCAGTCTTCAGTGTCACATGATCCTTCAGAAATAATTCTAATATACTGAGTTGCTGTTTAAGAAACATTTCTCATTATTACCAGTGCTGAAAACAGTAGTGCTGCTTAATATTTTTGTGGAAACCATGATATTTCTTTTATGATTCTCTAATGATAGACAGCATTTTTTCAAAACAGAAATCTTTTATAACATTATATATGTCTGACTGTCACTTCTTATCAATTTAATGCATCCTTGTTGAGTAAAAGCATTAATTTCTTAAAAAAAAAATATTACTGACCCCAAAACTTTTGAACAGAAGTGTAATTAACATATTTAATTAATGTCCCTTATTCAATTTAATAATTTAATTCAATAATAATTTAATTACATATTTATTAATTATTTCCAGATAAGTTCCAGACACATACGCTGGATACATTAAGAAATGGAACCTGAGGGACTTACAAAAGAGTACAAAGAATAAAGGTCAAAATGTTGTCTTCTAAGCTTATGAATAACTCAAAATGTCTTTAAGGGCTTGAGGTATTCATGCCTTTAACTGTAACGTTTCAGAACTAGCGTTTTACTAGTTTGTATTCAGTCTATGTATCTTACAAATTAGGATTCAAAGTATAACAGACTTTGAGTATTGCATTCAGCAGCTCTGAAAAGTTGCAGATGTAAAAAACCCTCCAGACCTTTCAATGGCACCATAAAGCTCACAGCCTGGGGACATGTGACAGGACACCAGGCTCTCCCAATTACAGCAGAACGTGCTCTGATTTCAGCCCCAAACCCACTTTCTACTGGCACAGAAATGGAAAATGTCTGCTAGTCCTAGTTTCCAAAAAGTTCATGTGAAGAGTTGGTTTGTGCACTTTCTCTTTGTACCTTCAACATATTGGTTATTGCTGACTGACTATTGAGTGATTTCTACATTTAATTGAAGTATGATCTTTACCTGTGTCTGTGAGGACCTGAAGGAAGAGGCGAAGCTCTGCTGGAGAGAGTCCAGGAAGGGTTGGATCTTATAGAGGCCCTGACTGCCACCTTGGCTGGAGCGGAAAGCTACGATGTGGAAGTACTTGAGGATCTTTTCGAACCGTGCCTGGCTCATCTTGAGCGCGATACTGCGGTTACTGAAGAATCCGCTGCTCCAGATGCTCAACACTGACTCGCAACGGTTCACGCTAGTAGAAGTAACATAGCCCAGAAAGGCCTTCATCTCAGCCAGCGTCACATTGGTCCATCCTTCATCACTGCCAAAGCGCTCCTGGTACTTCTTGGCATACATGTTGGTCTGGGTCACCATGTTCTGAATGACGTTGTCTGGGACAAACAGCTGGAAGAAGTCCATGGCCGTGGCAGTGGCCGGCATTTTCTGTGTCGGACCTGCAAAATGAAAGGTAAGTTTAACAGAATAGTATTTTAATTATTTAATTTCTTATCTAGCCAGGGAGGATTTTACCAGGCTGTTGCTCTGTATGCGTCATTCCCTGACTGATGATTGCAGAGAAAAATGCAGGAACTACTTCATCATTTTATGATTCATAAAGCATGTTATTTTGAATAAAAAAAGAGGTTGAAAATCTCTAAAATAAATCCAGTGGAAATGCATAATATGCAATTTTGATTATACATGTTTAAACATGTAAAACAATGAGCAGCTGATTCACAGAAGAGCTATCCTTCAATAAAAACAATTTTAGGTCAGTATATCTTCTAAATAATGATGCTACATTTCAGTGCTTATAATTATGGAAGTTTATGAAAGCTTGTTTTAGTTTAAAAAAATGTAAATAGTAATGCGAATTTTTATCTCACAATTCAGAATCTGAATATCTTTAAATCTTTTTCTGGCAATTCTGAGAATATTTCTCACAATTTTGTATTTTTTTCCTCACATTTTTGAGAAAAAGTCAAAATTTCGAGATATTCAGTAAGGTCCGAATTGAGAGATATAAACTCAGAATTACAATTCTTAGAAGAAAACTCTGAATTGTGTGTTGCAAGAAAAAAATTCAGAATTCTAAGATAAAAAGTTGCAATTACTTTTTTATTTTTTTTTATCCTATGGCAGAAATGGATTTCCACAAATAATAGCTAAAATTAAAAAATACAAATAAAAAAAAACTGTCAGAAAATGTAACTGTATTATTATCTTGACAGAAGGGATTTTAGTTCTGTTTGATTTAGTTATTTTTGTCCATACAATGAAAAAAAAACAGGTTTGGAACAACATGAAGATGATTACATAATGTTCATTTTTGAGTGCACAGCTGAACTTCTAATGACTTTTATCAGGACCCTTATCACTATCTACCTAACAGGGAGCATTTAGTAACAACTAATGAGTGTATGGAACATCAACACTGTGCTGTGAAGGCTGAGCTAATCAGCTAATGACAATAAGTTGAAGAAAGTGGCTCACAAAAAGCTTAATTTGTTCCGTTATTATCTTTTACTCCACTTCTACTAATGGATATTTTGTCAATCCAAGCAGCTCACACAGAAATGGAGCAAACAGCTAAGAAGGAAAATGTGTCTCAGTCTAACTTAAGCTCTTTGTAACAGATGGGTTCCATGGTACATTAACTTACACGGTAAAATAAGTACCATTTACAGTGTTGCTTAGTGTGAATATTGGAAAGTGTATTGATCCTAAATGATCTAAACTCACACTTGTATACTGCATCACATGCTGGGATATCTGATATGTTGCAAACACTCATAAACAGCAGACGAAAATAAAAGTATCCTGCCGTTATGTGGTTATTATTTTTTAGTGACGAAAACCCCAAAGCAGAGCACTGGCCATCAACTGCACTTACAACTTGCCACACATTTACTCAGTGCCACAGTGGCCTAATGACCCCAAAGCAAAAGAGTGTGTAATTGATTTGAGTGCAATATACAACTGTGAGTAAAAACTGTGCAGGATTCTGATTTACGAAGGAAATCTGTTGTAAAAATTGTCTTGAAATTGTCTTCATTATTTCATTATTTTCATGAACAAATGGCTCTGTCATGCTTTCCAAAGCTTCACATGTTCATGCATGACACACATCTTAACCTAACCACAACATCTGCTATTCAACCAGTAGCTCATCTCCCATTACAGCTCTGAAGAAGCTTGTAAAGCAAGCTCAAACATTCCCCCAGGATAAAGACCATTGTACAGTGTATTATATTCATTCATCTGTGCCTTTTTGTATAAACTACTTATCAAACACAAAAGAAGATCAGTTAGAGAGAGAGAGAGAGAGAGAGAGAAAACATCTCAAGAAAAATATCACAAAGTTGCTGATTATATAAACATTTTTGCACAGTATGCTAAAAATAGGTAGTTGACACATTGTGTTCATGGTCTTCTTAATAACTAGTATAGATTAAAATTGATATAAATGTATAAGGTAAGCTATATATCTTAGGTATTGTAAATGGTCCTCATAAATTATGCTTTTGCCTTTGAGAAAACATCTCAAGAAAAATATCACAAAGTTGCTGATTATATAAACATTTTGCACAGTATGCTAAAAATAGGTAGTTGACACATTGTGTTCATGGTCTTCTTAATAACTAGTATAGATTAAAATTGATATAAATGTATAAGGTAAGCTATATATCTTAGGTATTGTAAATGGTCCTCATAAATTATGCTTTTGCCTTTTTCACTACTTCATTAAATGGTCCTGCTGTGTGACAATATCATTTTTACATTTTTAAAATACTGCATGCATAATAATTATGAAGAATTTGAAAAAATGCTGATTAAAATTGTTTTGTGTAAAGTATAGCTGGACATGTCAACTTCCCAAAAGTATTTTATTAAAGGTCTCTATGCAAAATATGTATATACATATTTGTAATATTCTTTTAAAAGTTAGATTTATTATTTTCATGCTGGTCTGAATTTCCTTTTTATCAAATATCAAATATGCAGCATGATATTGATAGAGCAAACAGTTCTATGTTCATATCTGGCTTGAAATCTTTTATGGTATTAAATCGGTGTTATGTAATACAGTATGACTCTGTAGCTTAATCCAGATAATAGCCATATTACTTCTAAAATGCATGAACTGAACAAACCAATGCACTATGTACTGCAGTACTTTATATTTAAAGAAAAACTATGCTTAAATTAAAAATATAATATACAGTATATATATAATGCTTGATCTCTTTTAAGATTAATGTTTTAAGTGCTGCAGTGCTATTTCATATAATAGCTGTGTTCAAAGAGGTTTTCTTTCCACACCCAGAAGTTCTGTAGAACATCAACAAATATTTGTATTTATCTCTGTGTCTACAGTCAGTCCTCCAGGAGAACAGCTGCTGGAGTGCTACATAGTTTCCTAGATTCATTATTGAGAAGAACCAGCAGTCCTTGTACCTTCTCTACACCGCCTTTATACAAATAAGCAAGCTGATATGAATTGATCTTATTATTTTAGATCTCACAACAGGTGCAGAATTACACCATGTGGCCCTCAAACAGTCCAACAATCATGTCACAGAACTGTTGGGTTTGACAAAGATCTGTTGTGGGCAAAATTAAGTATAACTTATAGCTCTTTATTGTCCCTTGGTTTATCATTCTATAATTCGATATTTTTCAAATTACTTGAGATATGTTAAATGATATGCTTTAAATAACCTATAACCAAAGTCTAAAGGATGTAAGTGAGAGCACAAAGTGTGTTATGTTGACCTAAATAATATAGACCTTATATAAGAATCACAGTCAGGCTAGAGTGTTGTGCCAGACATTTACCTTATACAAACAGCACTGACAGCTCGCTCTGATGAAACATTGTTTGTCAGTATCCACAAGTGTTACATCTTATTAAATGACCCATGACATGAAATGCAAAATGTCTGTGGACTGACTTTGTGTATCTTTCATGCATCATTTTGCAGCTTGTGCCAAAGCAAAGGCAGCAACCAGATGGCTCATTTCCCCCCATGGTGACAGACAGAACTTTCTGAGCAACCACGATGGAAAGATGTGTCATTTATCAACAGCACGGAACTTACTAAATTTGGAAAATGTTCAAACCACAACAAGAAAAAGCATTATATTCAGATTAGGATACTTTCTTCTAAAACATTATCGTGGCATTTTAATGTATTTCTCAGTATGTTTTGGTTCATTAAACATCAGCTGATAGCATCAATCTTCAATTTTTTCATATTTGTGCAATGAAAGCTCTTTATATGACATTTAAAAACACACACGTACATGCGTCATTTAAAGATGCTCTTGGGTCACTTTGACGCGAGTGAAATGAAGCATGATATTAGTATCAGTCTATCGATCCACATGTCAAGCAGTCGTGGTCTGTACAGTAAGAGATGCCAAGGATTCTCTTCACTCCTGTTTATGACAATATTTAGACTGCCAATAAATGGCACTTAGAGCAGAACATATAAAATAACAGACAGAACTCTCAACCATCCTTGCTAGAAAAAAAAAAACACATTTTGTTATTAAGGCAGAAATGATTCCCTGCACATTATGTAAGCCACAGTATTTGCAAGTCTGACTGGCATCAGCACACGATTATCTCTATCTATGATTCAGGGAGAAATATAGTGTGGCTGAAATCCTATTCATTCATTACAGGAGTGCATATTCAGGATTTATCACAATATATCTTTTTTTTACTTTGTACAACTGGACTATTCCAGCCAAACTCCAGTCATGAATTATTTCATTTCATATTTCATTTCCTAGTAAGAGAAACTAGAAAACCGTTCATTTAATACTTTGTGAGACATATACTGCTAAACGCTGGCATCACAATATCTTTTACATTTTGCCGGTTTGATCACATTTCTGTGTCATGACTTTAATGGAATAGTTCACCCCCAAATTTTTATCAAGTTAATTGATGGCTGGAGTCGTGTGGATTATTGTGATGTTTTTATCAGCTGTTACTGCAGAGGAGCCATGTTGAGCAAGTGATGCAAAATTTCTCCAAATCTGTTCCGAAATGCACAGCATCTTTAACTGTTAAATAAATGAATAAACCATTAAGCAACATACCCTATCTGTTTTGTATTTCATTGCATTTGTTTTAGAATGCTGGGTAGGCAGTGGGACCACAAGCATTTGACTGGCAAGCATCTTTATACTGATAAATCATGCAAAATTGATCAGGCAAACTGAGTTAATAAAAAATGACTAAATGAGTGTTTGTCTATGGCATAAAAGTCTAGACAGTCAGTCAGTCGTGCGCTTGGATAAAATGTGGTGACACTTTGAATGAAAGGCATTATTCAAATCTCTTAAAATGAGATTAAGCCACCTACACTGACAGTGAATTGAATACTAATTCAAACTGGTGACTGCCTGACAGGAACGTTAAGGATTTTATCCTACAACAAATGATTGGGTCTGACATGTGCATGGTTTAATTTACTTTTTTTGTCCTTATTCTCATTAGTCTTTACTTATTTGTTCTCTCTATGGTCTTAACTGCCACTTGCTGGATATCTGCATAGTACATCACTTGATAAGAAAGCATTTACACCAAGTGTAAATCTCCTCTAAAAGCTGCCATCTAACCACATTAAAGTCTGAATTTCTCACAAATAAGAGCCTCCTCTCATCTGCCTATGCAAATGACCCTCCTACCCTGATACAGAGCTAATCATACTCATAATCACAGCTGCTCTGAGTCTGGCAGAGATTAGACACTGGAAGCATCCTCAACTGGAATGAAAATCCAAATTTGGCATGCTATCTCAGTTCCTATTTTCTCTTCCCCCGCTATGTGCAGGATTTCAAAGAGCCAGTTACTAATCACCCCTTATCCATATTTGAAGGAATTGTGTCATCTGTTGGAGCCATCTGATAAGAGAGATCAAAGTAAATCAATGTGGTTATCAAAGAGTCCCATCTGTGAGCTTAATTACTAGTCGAGCATGCAGGCCTCTCAAGGATGATGAAGCTGCATTGCATTTACATGAGGTTCGCTCATCATTAGACCAACTTACCATGCGTGTCCTGATAGTGGGGCACGCTGAGGTCCTGTAGCGAGTCGCTCCATCCCTCCTCCTGCGCCTGGCCGTTGGAGACGGAACCGGGGGGACCGCAGCTCTGACCCCTAGTTTCACCTGCTCTGGCATCGTCCGGATTTGTCTCCGTGTAGTTATCCGAATTGGAGTCTCCCGTTGTACTGTAAAAGGGGTTTTCGCTGCTGTCGTCTCCCGACTCCCCGAACACATCATCGGAAATTTGCAGGCTCTCGTAGCGAGAACGCGCTTCCTCGAGGAGCGACAGTCCCCTCCTTCCACACTCCGCCATCGTTTGTCAGTCCCGACGTAGAGCTGCTACGCCCGGCGAGATTCGGCATGCAAATGATTTCCCTAAAAGCGTCAAATCCGGCATACAGTCTGTTCCACCAAGTCCCTCTGCGTGCGTGCGTGCGTGCGTGCGTGCGTGCGAGCGAGCGTGTCTCGGTCCTCTGCGCGAGATGCAGCGGGCGCAGGTCTCAGTAGCGGCGTGGAAACAAAGGTGAACGCCGCGGGAGCTGTTCGTCCTTTCTGGTGCTGAAATACTCCCAGTCCTGCGGGCTGAACCCCACAACTGACCGCTCCACAAACGATCTGTGCATCCGGGTTGGGCGGCCTCCCCTCTCGGTGGAGAATGACTGAAAGAATCCCCGTCTTCCTTGGAAATCACCTGACTCGGTCTCCCTGCACTGTCCAATGGGATTAACCTCTGAATGAATCATAGATGTTAGAGACACAAATTATATTTGCTCTGCCATAGTGTTAAAATGCCTTGTGGGCGTATTAATATTTTCCAGTTTAAATATACAATAGCATCAGACGAGATCCAGTTAGACATTTTAAAATTTAAAGCAATTTATATCATACAATTGTAAATGTTTTTTTTTGTTATTTAATAAAACAAAGCAAATATAAAATTTAAATACTGATAGTTATAGAAAACGTTATGTTAAACATTATGTTACTTGCTTGCAGCTTTCTAGTCTTATTGAGCAACTAAGTAATTTTTCACCCTATAGTTATAACAGCGCTTACATAATAGGAATACAACTCTATTCAAGTGTCCTTGGCAGTATAAAATACGTGTGTTCACATAGCTGGGAATCATTTGTCATCAGATTAGTTTTCATCACTGGTTGTGCAGTATAGTCGTGCTGCAGTACCGCTAACGAGATCCAGTTAGACATTTTAAAATTTAAAGCAATTTATATCATACAATTGTAAATGTTTTTTTTTTTGTTATTTAATAAAACAAAGCAAATATAAAATTTAAATACTGATAGTTATAGAAAACGTTATGTTAAACATTATGTTACTTGCTTGCAGCTTTCTAGTCTTATTGAGCAACTAAGTAATTTTTCACCCTATAGTTATAACAGCGCTTACATAATAGGAATACAACTCTATTCAAGTGTCCTTGGCAGTATAAAATACGTGTGTTCACATAGCTGGGAATCATTTGTCATCAGATTAGTTTTCATCACTGGTTGTGCAGTATAGTCGTGCTGCAGTACCGCTGGTCGCCAATCAAGGCGCTCTTCACAGATGTTCTCTCTTTCGGACACAGCAGGGTTTTGTGTTTTCCACCCACTCGTTAGCGTGTGCCATGTTTGCGGAAGTTGAGTCGATTACTGTGTCATTTGAACGAAATGTAGCAAATAATCTTCACGTTTAAACAAATACGTTTGCAGATTATTTTGTTTGTGGCCGTCCTAAAAGAATGATGACGTTACCAAAGGGACCCGATTCTTTGTGTTTCGACAAAGACGAATTTATGAAGGTGAGGGATCTGTTAGTAATATATCAACTGAAACGAGACCTCTATTCAGCTTTACAGTAACTAACTTGATTGAGCAGCGGTTTATGTGTTGTATTTATAGGTTTAAGTACTGCTTGAACAAGTATCTTTAACGCTGCCCAGAGTGACTTATGTTGGGACCCCAGAAACCCCAATGATGTACACATACAAATAATAATAATAATTAGCAAATGAATCTATTTTTCCACTTCAGGCACTTTTAATATGTTCATTTGACTAAGACAAAACCTGTTGGACTTGAATAAAGTTTTAACCCTCACAAATCCATGCTCTTTTTATAAATGTGACTCACTTCAATATAGTTTTGAACCAACCAAAATAATATACTGTAGAAAAATTTAAAAAAGAATACTCAAAAACACAACTGATAGAATGAGAACTTTTTTTTTACAGCGTGTACAGCAACAGCATCTGGGGTCTCACAGACCTACAAACTTCCACAACATAGCATTCTACATGGAGGACAGTTGGAGAATGTTATCACATTGAAATAGTTTATAATCTCTTCTCATGTGATTTATGAAAAGTCATTATGTCAGCTTGATATTTATCTTTAAAATGTATTTTTAAATGGATGTGTGGTCTCTCAACCACCAAACAGAGCAGAGGGTTAATGGAAGCTCTTTTTGATATTTATTCTCCATACAACAATCTCTTGACTGTCTTCCAGTTGTCCTTCCTTGTGTTTGACATTATTTGACACCTTTCTGCCTGATGGTATTTTGATTTTAAATACTTGTACCTTTCTATGCAGGATGACTTCGACGTGGATAAATTTGTGGCTGATTGCAGAAAGCGTGTCCAGCTGGAAGAGATGCGTGAAGATCTGGAGCAATATTACAGGCTTCTCAAAACAGCCATGGTCGAGCTTATCAATAAAGACTATGCAGATTTCGTTAACCTTTCCACGAATCTTGTGAGTCTAGTGCGCTTTGTCTTTTTCTGGAGCATTATGAGTTTTGCCACATGCTATGGAGGCTTATTGTTTGTATCCGTGTTTTAGGTTGGAATGGATAAAGCCCTTAATCAGCTCTCTGTCCCTCTGGGCCAGTTACGCGAAGAGGTGCTGGTAAGTGCTTAACACATGAGTGAATACATTTGAATTGGCCATATGTTAGTCATCATCTAAGTATCTTCCTCTCATGCACAGAGTTTGAGATCCTCTGTGAATGAAGTTATTGAAGCTATAGACACCCAGCTATCCAAGCAAGATGACATTCAAAAAAAGAAGGTAAGTCATGGTGATGAAACTTAAAATACTATATTACAACTATGCACACATTGTCCAACATTGTGTCTTTTGTAGCTCTGTGTGTTAAGACTTATCCAAGTTGTGAGATCAGTGGAGAAGATTGAGAAAATTCTTCACCAAAACACTAAAGATACAACATCCCTTGAGACCAGCAGGTAAGTGAAGTAGTGAAAGAGGCAAGAAGTAAATGAGACAAATACACTCCTGTCAAAAGTTAGTTTTTGAAAAGTTTTTTTTTTTAATTAGTCTCTAATGCTCACCAAGGCTGCATTTATTTGATACAGTAAAACCAGTACTATTGTGAAATGATTTCTGTTCAAACATATTTTAAAATTTAATTTATTCTGGTGATGGCAAAGCTGAATTTTCAGCAGCCATTACTCCAGTCTTCAGTGTCGCATGATCTTTCAGAAATCTTTCTAATATGCTGTTTTGATGCTCAGAATTATTTCTTATTATTAATGTTGAAACGATGTTGCTTAATATTTTTGTGGAAACATACATTAAATATTCTTTGCTGAATGGAAAGGTCAAAAGAACAGTGTTTATTTGAAATAGAGATCTTTATTACAATGTAAAAGTCACTTTACACACTCCTTACTGAATAAAAGTATTAATCACAATAAAATCATACTGACCACAAACGGTACAGTAGTGTACATTGCAGCAAAACAACTTCTTGAAATATGACTCATGGCTTAAGGAAAGGATTCTTTAGATCATGTACCATTTGCATTTTACTTTACACTTGAATGAACAGCTTATTCTTTGTTTTTAAGTCCTCTTCTGGCAGGTCAGATTCTAGAGCGGATTGCCACCGAGTTCAACCAGTTACAGTTTCATGCAGTCCAGAGCAAAGGAATGCCATTGCTTGATAAAGTCCGTCCGGTGAGCTCCCAGTTCTATAGTATCCCATTGTGTTTCTTGTCACTTTAAGCTGGGGTAGGAGAAAGTATTTTACACTGTGTGAACCAAAGTATTGGGACACACCTCTTAATTATGAAATTCAATGCCATACATCGGACACAGTGGTGTAAATGCCACCACTGAGTTTGGTGTGGAAGAACTTGACTGACCCACACAGATCCCTGACCTCAGTCACCTGGACACCTTTGGGATGAACAGGAATAGAGATTGCAAACCAGGCCTTCTCATCCGTCATCAGTGTCTGACTTCACAAGTGCTCTACTGGTGACAAAAACATTCCAAAATCTTGTGGAAAGCCTTCCCAGAAGAGTGGGAGCTGTTACAGTTGCAAGGGGGTGGGGGGGACCAGCTCCATATTAATGTCTGTGTATTTAGAATGTAATGTCATTAAAGTCCCTGCTGGTGTAATGGTCAGGTGCCCCAATACTTTTGTCCATATGCCGTATAAGTAAAAATGACTGATTTTGTGAGTGCTTTTCTCTGTGTTCCAGAGAATAGCAGGTATCACAGCTATGCTTCAGCAGTCACTGGAAGGCTTACTGATCCAAGGCCTGCAGACGTCAAATATAGATATCGTACGGCATTGCCTCAGGACATATGCTACCATAGATAAGACGAGGGATGCAGAGGCACTGGTCGGACAGGTCTTAGTCAAGCCATACATGGATGAGGTAGGTTTTGCATATCGCCCGGTTACAGCAGTACAGTCAATTGTAATTTGCATATCTGTCATTATTTACAGTGTTGTGAGTTTTGCAAATGAGATTCAAGCCTACAGATACAAAATGCATCTGTCTTCTCCACCTGAATGTCGATTTCTCCTTTTTGTGTCAGGTTATAGTTGAACAATTTGTCAAATCCAACCCTAACGGTTTTAAAATGATGTATGCAAAGCTGTTGGAATTTGTGCCTCACCATTGTCGACTGCTGCGAGAGGTGACTGGTGGGGCAATCTCTAGGTATGTCTGCCACTCAAAGTGAACGTTTACTACATTGTCCCATTGCTGTAATATTACATACAATGCTTTTTAATGAGTTTACCCTTTTGTATGCCCAGTGATAAAGCAGACATTGTTCCAGGATATGACTTCCTGGTGAACTCTGTTTGGCCTGAGATCATTAGAGGTGTTGAGGAAAGAGTCCCTTCCCTTTTCAATCCTGGAAACCCAGATGCATTTTATGAGGTATGCAAAGTGAAAAAATGCACCAGCATTGACTTGATTTATTTACTTATTATTTTCTTTGACTGAAATCACTTTATAAAATGGAATTGTACACCTCATTAAATGGTTCTCTTTGTTGCTGTGTTCTTGTGTGAAGAGATACACTGTCAGCATGGATTTCGTTCGTAAGTTTGAGAGGCAGTGTGGTTCCCAGGCCAGCGTGAAGAGGCTGCGAGCACATGCGTGCTACCAGAGCTTCCAGAACAAATGGAACCTGCCAGTGTACTTCCAGCTGCGGTGAGTAAGAGGAATTAGAAATCCAGTCACAGTTGTACCATTCCAGTGCTTTTGTTCATGAGCTAGTATTCTGGGTCAATACAACATAGAAAATCTCTTTGACCCATTGTTTCCTACACTGTGATATAATATATTGACAATAAAAAAAAAAGTGCAGAGAAAGAGATTCCTTTAAAGGGGTTGTTTGTAACCTGCTTCCAGTAA